ATAAAGAGTGAGGGGTCTCAACAACAATAAGAGAGTTAAAATAAGTATTTATATAGTTTTGACTCAGAAGACAAAATGATCATATTGATTGAATATATCTGATAACCATTTATTTTATTTATTTCATCTGATCTTAAATTTGAGGTTATATAAAAGTTGGTATGGTCATATTGATTGAATATATCTGATAACCATTTGTTTTATTTATTTCATTTGATCTTAAATTGATGTTATATAAAAGTTGGTGAAAAATGACAATGCTTAATTTTTATAATAAATACACAATTATACAGCTAAAAATTTTATAATAAAAGTAGCATAATGTGTCAATTATTGTTTAACTTTTGTTTATAAACAAATCTTTTTTTTAATGTGAGAATGATGAGAGTATATTATCGCAACTGAATGTTGTAGTGATAAAGTTAAACACAACTTATTATAATGAATCCACCACTTTTTCCTTATCATATATCAAAATGTTAATTTCACAATAATCCGTTTTTAATACATTTTATATAATATAATTTAAATTTATTTTTCGTATTACTTTACAAAAAAGTTTGTCGATTTTTATTTCTAAAAATTACACTGAATTATCATTTTCACCAATTTCCTGGAAAAATAAGTACTTTAATATATTACAGTTCTCATTAACTTCATGCAATAATAATAATTATAATAATAATAATAATAATAATAATAATAATAATAATAATAATAATAATAATAATAATAATAATAATAATAATAATAATAATAAGCTGCTGCTCACATTTATACTAAAATAGGCTTTGCTATAGCCAAAGGAGTGAGAGCCCAAATTGTATCTCGGCTGCCCACTAATTTCTTGTAAAAATATTTGTTTCAAATAATAATAATAATAATAATAATAATAATAATAATAATAATAATAATAATAATAATAAAAATAAGTATTTTAAAAAATACACAATTTTACAGCAAAAAAATTATAAATAAAAATAGCATAATGGGCAATTATCATTTACTTTTTGTCCATATCAAAAATGTTTTTTTTTTTTTTCCATAAGAGAATGATGAGATCATATTACCACAATTGAACGTCGCAGTAGATAAAGTTAACCATAAACTTATTATAATGCATCAACTACTTTTTCTTTATCATGTATCATAATGTTAATTTTATTTTATTTCTTTTAGATTTTATATAATATAATTTCAATGTTTTTTTTTTTTGTATTAGATCACAAAATTTTTCAAAGTGTTATTGGTTTTATGCACAAATAAGTATTTTAATATTACATTGAATTACATTTCTCATGAATTTCATGAAAAAAATAAATATTTTTAATATTGAATTATTGAGTCTATTTATGACTTTATGAAAAATGATAAATCTTTCACGTCATTCTATAATAACCATCGCACTTATTTTGTGAAAAAAACGAAATGTTCAGATTTATTTTGTTAATAAAAAGTAAAAAAAATATATGTAGACTTAATTTAAAATTAAATACATGCAGATAGAAGTTATTTTATTTTCTATTAGATATTTAATTTGTATTTATATATTTGAATTTTTTCATCTTCGTACATGTTTGTACAATAGTAATCATGACTTTTTTTTTTTGGAACCATGAAAATTTTGTTATCACATATACATTTTTATGAAAACTTTTGAAGAAGTGTCATTAATGTGACTATATTTTTTTTTCATGGTATATGACATATTTTTGTAAGCTTAAAAATTTAATTTTAAAAATTTTTAAAACGAATTATATTGGATTTTATAATTTCTTTTTTTGTTAATTGTTATTGTTTCTAGAGTCACGATCCATGTTGCCTAATTATTGTTATTACTATTAGTGATAACAAACACATTTCACCTATTATAGATGTTGTATTTGTTGAAGTATTTTAAATAAATTAACAATAAATTTATTCTACATTATCTCAATAATTTTTTTAAAAAACATTTTTCTATTAAGTTTTCATTCATTCACACCATTTTTAATATTAGGCCGCGCAACGCGCAGGTAACGTACTAGTTATTTATGATTAGAATTGCGAGGTTAAATTAGTAGGTTGAAATATTGAAGATAAAAAGTAATGGAAGTATATATATTTTAGTATTGTATACTTATATTTTCAAGTGAATTCAAGTTGCGCGTGAGACGTATGTTTGAAAATTTGTGCATTGCACTGTGGAACCGTCTCCTTCCACCTGGGCAGGCTCATGAGTTTTTCCGGCAGCCCCTCAAACAATGGCTGTGGCGAAATTTATCTTTATCGCGGGACGGCCTGGACGACGCTTGGAGCAGCAAATTCGCCATAGCTGCCTGGCGGTCGTGGTTTTGGCGTAATGAAAGGATTTTCAAACAAACAAACCTTGCTGTAGAGGTCAAGCGGCTCGAAGTACTGAGGCTCTCGGCTAGCTACAAACGTGCGATTATGGATTATGTGAAAGTTGGTGCGGCTGTGCATGTAACTAAGGTGGTGCGTTGGATTTCTCCTCCTTCGGGGTGGGTGAAGGTCAATAGTGATGGTGCCACTGATCAGACCACGGGAAGGAGCAGTGCAGGTGGGCTAATTCGTGATGAAACCGGGCGATGGGTTGACGGTTTCCTATTCAATATAGGATATTGCACTATTACAGGGGCGGAATTATGGGGACTGTTCCAAGGGCTCTCATTGGCATGGGATCTGGGACATCGACGAGTGGTGGCTGAAATTGATAGCCTTTGTGCGAAGACCATGGTATGCGAGAAGAGTGGCGAGATAGGACCTCATGAAGCACTTGTTCGGGCCATTCGGGAGCTGCTCTCTAGGGAATGGAGCGTTAAAATCCAACACATCTATCGCGAAGCAAACTTTGCTGCGGACGTTATGGCAAGTTTGGCGGCGTCCTCCCCGCCTGGATTACATCGTGTGCAAACCCCGCTTGTGGGATTAGGTGTCTGGTTGGACCATGATAATATCGGGGTGTCGTACCCTCGTAGAGTACTAGCTTAAGCCTTGTGGCAACCTTTTTTGTACCAAAAAAAAAAAGAGTCAAAATATATATATTATTTAAGTTTTGATTTTTTTTTTTTTTAATTCCAAATTACAGTTTTAATTGATTTTGACGATATATCAAATAACTTAACAAAAATATATAACACTTGTAATAATAAATTCATGATGAGTAAGATGCAAAAAAAAAAAAAAA